TTTTTTTTTTTTTGCAGTTATTTTTTGGGTGGGGCCAGGTTTGAACCTGTCACCTCTGGTATATGGTGGCGGTGCCCTACTCCTTTGAGCCATAGGCACTACCTGCAATGGCTATTTTTTTGCTGCAGTTGTCTTTGTTTAGCAGGCCTGGGCCGGAATCGAAGCCACCAGCTTTGGTGAATGTGGCGGGTGCCTGTCACTGAGTAGGGCACTGAGCCAAATCTGAGATTTTTAGTAATGTCCATCTGAAGGCCCGGCATGGTGGCTCATGCTTGCAATCCTAGCACTCTGGTAGGCCAAGGTGGGTGGATTGCTTAATCTAATGAGTTGGAGACCAGCCTGAGCAAAAACGAGACTTCATTTCTACTAAAAATAGAAAAAACTGAGGCAATAGGATCGCTTGAGCCCAAGAATTGGAGGTTGCTGTAAGATATGACGCCACGGCACTCTACCCAGGGTGACAGCTTTCTTTTTGTCTTTAAAAAATAATAATAATGTCCATCTGACACAGTCAATGGTGTCCCAGTTATTGCACCACACTGTCAGGGGACCTGACAAGGGCCTGGGCAAGTCTCCATGGAGACAGGAGTTAGTGCCTGCATCAGTGTAAGCACATAAAAGTAACAAGATGATGGCCCTCCACCCCAAGTCACTTAACAGTCTCAACATAGCCCCAGGTTCTGCCAGCCTCTCCCTCTGAAGTTCCAAGTGTTCATATGCATAGAGCACAGGAGTTGGAGGCTGTGTATAGCTAGTGAGTTTGAGGAGGCAGGGAGGGGCTAAGGTTTCCTAGGGTGATTTTAGGCTGGATCAGATGAGGGAGCTCTTGGTGGCAACTGTTGCTTGAATTGATGGGTAGGTATCTGACCATAGTACTCACTCCTCATTTAGAGGAAGCTGGGCTGGGGGCTGTTCCTATGACAGTAAAGTGGCAGCCTTAATGCCTAGGTAACTTGGGGAGATAGAGAGCATCTGGGTGGGCCTTTGCACATCAAGAGGCTTGTGAAAGGCCTCAGACTCAGAACTGCCTAGCTGAGTCCATCACACCCTCATCTCTCAACCCAACTGACATCAGCAACCATCCCTGCCATTGATCATTATGTGTCACATCCCAGTCCTTCTATGTGCACTGATGAGGAACCTGAAGCTCAGAGTGGTTAAATCGGTTGCCTAGGGTCACACAACCTGGATGCAAACCCAAGTCTGGCTGGATCAGAATCCAGTTCTTGACCTTGGAAGTACAAAAATGTTTTCCAGCCCTTACCCAGCTGACAGGCCACTTTGCATTTGTTCTTTCTCTTTACCTACCCACAGCCCAAACTTAGAAAGTAGTCATTTTAGAGCAACAAATCCTGGTAGAGCTTACCAGCTTGGCCCTGAATTAAGACACTGAGGAGGAGGTGCAAAAATGTGTAAGTCACAGTTTGTTTTGAGAAGCTCCTTGTACAAGATAGATAGAAAGTAAAACTGGGTCTAAATAAGCAATGAAGTCAATGAGGCTGGGCTGGAGTCACCCAGAGGGTTTCCTGTATAAGGGAGACTGGATGGGGCCTAGGAGAAAGGAAGGGAATTGGGGGAGAGAAGGGACTGCAGGTAGAGAGGCAGACGTAGGGTGATCAGACACCAGGACTATAGTCTGTGCCACACCTATGACTCTTCCCCCTCCACTCTACCTACCTGTGCTCCTCTATAGCCAGGCCTAGTCAAAACTGCACCATTTCTGGGAAGTCTTGCCTGAGGACCCTATTCTTTGCTAGTCGTCTACTTGAGAGCCTGAGATACATCTGGTTTGTACTACTCATGGGGTTGTTCTCAGCCTAGGATGACATCAAGTGGAAATCTCTCACTCCTTCTGCTAGATTTATAGTTTATATCTGAGTCTTTGTCAACCTCAACCCCAGAAAACTAGACATCTCCTATGCCCCTCCCCCATAGTTTTAAAAATTCCCCTAGGTGTAAAAAGTCACTGGTGTACCCCTACCCCCATTAAGGATTACACTTAGTTTTTCATTGTGAGATTGTCATATAAAAACAAGAGTTTATTTTCCAAATATGAAATCATAATATTGAATATTAACACTATTACAGTGTTGTTTTTTTTTTTTT